TATTTTTCTAATTAATATCCTGTGACTCCTTCTGTTTTTTAACTCGGTCCATCACAAAGATCATGCAGAATAATGTCAGTGATAATACCTGCATATAATTTGTATTCTTCATATGTTCTTACCTTAAGTTCTCAAGGACCGTTAAGCTCTGCTGTTGTTTTTACAGTTTTGATGATGCACTAAATAAAGTAGAATAGTGTCTGTCATAGCTATGATAAACTGTATGTGTATTGCTTGAATGAAAGTCTTTTAAAATGAATATTCTATTAATCAGCTATTTACTGTAGAACGGTCTCAGTAAGAGCCACTGTGTTTTCCTACAGTTGTTTTTAACATTTTTCTTCGTGACTCTCAGGCACCGACACATCCATACAGTAACGTAAGAAAAATACCTGTGAATTATTGGTGTCACATAATCTATCATGTAAACAATCACAATTTGTCTTTCATATAATCTACATTGGTTAATGACTGCAGCTTCACTTTAGCTATATGGATATTTTTTTTTTGTACTGCAAAAAATGTCAAAGCCACTATTTTTTATTTCTATGTTGAATAAAGAAAGGTGGAATATTTTTATTTTGAAGACTGATGGTTGTATTTGGGGATGTGGGGATTTTTTTAAAAAGGTCTTTTTGGCTCTAGAGGCCTTTATTTGATAGTTAACTGACAGGAAAGTGGGTAATGAGAGATGGGGAAGACATGTGGCAAATTTTGCCAGGCCGGGAATTGAACCTACAACGGCCACACGAAGGACCAAGGCCTCCATATGTAGGTTGTGCTTAACCCCTGTGCCACCACAGCACACCCAGGGATGTGGGGATTTAAAACAATCTGCCACACTGTGTTTGAAACACACTGATTAATATGGCCCACTATCATAATCCTGAGTGTAACCTACTCAGTGACAGTAAGTGAACACAAATCCAGCGGGAACGGAGACAGAACAAAGTGGAAACAAAAACAAAAAAACAAAAACAAAAACAGGCTGGCAAAAGTAGTTCTGAAAGTAAAATACATATTGCAGAACCACTAAAACAGTTTGTTCCACAAAAACAAGAAAGTAAAGGCTTTCAGCGTGTTTAATTTGTGTAGCAATCTTTAGAGCATACAGTCATCTGAACCTTTGCTGAGCTACATCTATGACAATTCTGAAATTAAAGTATCTAATCATTTTAAATTTGCAAGGCATATTTTAAGTTAAGCTATTTTCTTAGTTTTAATAGTAAGATATTCCTTTATTTTACAATACATACAACTAAAATAAGATTTTTAAATGCAGTGTATGAAAAGATTATTTTTCATGTCACCATGATGTTTAATATGACTAAGCTTTTCTGTTCATGTCAGAATTACTACAATAATTTCTATTGCTACATAAATAGAAGACATAAAAGAGAGAGGGGACATTTTTTGAAATTTTTTATTACTTTCTTCAAAGTCACAAGCTCACATAAAATATAAACACCCCATGTACAATATTGTTGCCATGTGAAGTTAAGAACTGTAAATTAGCATTTGCTAACATTTTATTGTACAAAAGTAATATTTCTCTTGATTTGTGAATAATTTTTAATCCAATTTGCCGTCAGTGAGCTTTACTCAGTGGATGGGTGGGGCATGTCCAGTGGGTGATCAGACAAAATGAACAACAAGTGGACAATCCTTGGACTGGGGACAATAAAAGGCCCCAAAATGTCAAATTTGGTCACAAGTCGTTTTGCCTCAGATGTCACTAGTTATGTAGGAGCGTGCCATCAGCATGTTGGATGCAGGGATGTCCAGCTGAGCAGTAGCTGCATGGCTCAATGTCCATTATCGGACCATAGGCCTTTAAGAGTTTGTTTCCAAAAGACCAGCACTACTGCACATCGACCTCATCCTCGACGGCCATGTGTGACCACTCCAACACAAGACCGCCACATCTGCAGAATTGGCTAAGACCAGCAACACACACAACTGATGAGACTATTGGTCTGCACAACAGACACATCACACCTCAGACTGTCCATAACCGCCTAAGAGAAGTCAACTGGGTCAAAATCAAATTCCTCAACCCGACCCCTATCATGTTCAAAGGACTCCCAATTCACTACAAATGGTCAGACCACGATGTTATTAATGCCAATATGAAGATTGATAATTAGTGAAAATATACTTTGAATTTATCTATATATTACATAACACAAATGTTCATAAAACTCTTGTATTCGACATGTGGCATTTATACTTTTGTTCAGTGTATTTCCATAGCATTAGGCAGCTTTTCTTTTAACTCTAAGATTTGAGTCAAGCGTTTTGGGTTTCCTTCCTCAATCTTCTGGTAAGAGTTTGCTAGAACTTTGGCCCATTACTCCCAATAGAAGATTTGTAGATCTCTTTGCTTGCAAGACTCCATTTATTTCTGCACAGAAATATTTTAAAGTACTGATATTCCTGTGATGTCACAGAATAGTAAATACATTTTCCAATTAACTCTTGTATAATCATCTTATTTTTGTGGGGTTTCCCCTTAGAATGCCCTTTGAATTGCACATACAAACCATAACACTTTGATTTTACACTTATAATTAAAATGAACAGCAACGTTGTGTATTTAAAGACATACAAGTTAATTAAAATTCTACTGCACAGTGTCCTTCACAAATTATTGCCACTGAACCTTACATTCAAGATATCATACCTGCATATGTGACTGAATGAAAATAATTGAAAGATAAGATACACTTCATCTTTACAAGTGAACAGATTATTTGTGCACAATCAGGTGTTGGCAAATGAATCTGATCCACTACTGCTGGTGTTTGAGTTTCCAACCCGTGAAACATTGTAACCATCTGGAACATAAACAATAAATTGTAAGGAAAGTGGTTTTAAAGTAGCAAAAAAGATAGAGAAAGTTAAACGACTTACTCCTTCCTCTGCGAAGTCGACCAAAAACGCTACTCAGAGCTGAAGTTCCACCACTGGTGCTCTAAAATAACAAATGTGTNACCAGGTGAAGATTTACTTTTACTTTTCCAGGATATCACTCTCTCTTTTTCTGACCATCTGAGAATGACTGTCCCCAATTGGTCAGGAAATATTTAACAAAACCAATCAAACAATGGATGCATTAAGTTTAATTTGTTGCATATTATGTATGAATGTGAATATTGTTCCACATAATGAAACTAAGCCTGAAATTGAAGCTAAGCTTTTATTCATATTTTATGAAGTTGCAGGTAAACATTCCTACTTTATGACATGCTGATCTACATCCACATTATTTTACAAAAACAACTTAAACTTAACGCCTTTCAGTGAATATTCCCAATTATAGATTTTCCCCTTTAATTCCTTAACATTCAATCATTTACATTTGTTTTGGATTGCCCTAGGTTGCTTAAGTTAAAAATATACAATAATAACTCCATATTTGTTATTAGCCAGGATTTGCTCCAGTATAACAGAGAAATGTGGACATACTCAGGAGCTTTTTAAAAACCACTTCACATTAAATTCTCAGATGACCAAATAGCTGAATTTACTTTTTATTAAAACTCCCTGACCTGAAATTCATTCCACTGTAAGAATATCAGTGTGAGGTTAACAAGAATCTTACATGATTACCCGTCAACCTGTTCCAACCGGTTTGACCTCAACATGCCTTTTTACTTGGGTAGAAACTTTGACAGATTGTGGTTTACATACCTGCTTGTCATGGTGTGTAAATGTCACAGGATTCCTTAGAATGAATGTACCAGTCTGTCAAGCTTGGCAATCTTTTCCCAATAGCAACAATGCATTTTCACGAAGGGGACCCAATGTCACACTACAGACACCGTCACATCAGATTCCCACACTGACAGAGACCAACTACTGTTTTACTGTTTAGTATGTCATACAGGTAAAGAGTAAATAAAAAAATAACTAAAATGCAGTTTTCAGATTATGAATTCCTGTGTACAGGCCCAGAGTTATAAACTGCTGGACAAATTCCTTCAGGATTTCAGGCAGAGAGCAGAATCCAAGGCTTTATCAACCACAACAGGTCCTTCAGATCCAGAATCAAATCTTGATTCATGTCTCAATGGGCAATTCATTTAATAGAGAGTTACAATGAAAACACTAACAATGATTAATATTTAATTAGAGGGTGTGGAACTAAATTTTACTGCTTCAAACAATGGAGGTGAAAAAGCACAAAACTTGTAAATCAAAAACAAAGAGCTGGTAAGACTAAAGATAATAAGCCACATAAACCACATTATGTATAAAGACCTTCCAGACTGAATCAAACAGCAGAAAATAATCAGCCTACTTACCATAATTCTTCTCTCGGTCTTACAGCCTGTGCTGTGTGTTGAGGCAACACTGTGAATGACAGCAGAGTAGAGCAATAAAAACATTAAATAACAGCCAACAAAGAGCTTCCTGGAATACAGCCAGGAAGAGTCAGTACACTGACAGTGACACAACAGGTTCCATCGCTCCACATGCTTTGCTAATGTCAACCGTGAAATAAGGTAAGTTAGCACGGTGATCTGTTAAAAAGTGATTTAAAGGCCTACAGTCTCTGCTGAATGTTATTCCATTTGTAGATTAACATTCCTCTGAAAGGATGACAACTACGAGGCCCTGAGTTGGTTGCCCATTACCATTTTGTCCGTTTGAGTCCAGTTATTTTCCATCACCTTGGGAAATGGTGGAAAAAAGGCACATCATTTTTTTTCTCACTGTCTGAAGTTAAATCTGATCAATTCTCTTGTTTTAGGTTAGTTAGAATTCCCAAAATTATTCTATTTGCTAAATGCCAGAAAACATAGTGAGAATTTTTTTTGGTTAGTTTTTCCCACTTTGACTCTGGAGTTTCCAGTTCATATTCCACAGAGACGTTTCTGTACACTAGACTGGCTACTTTGAGGTGGTGTTCCATGTATCCCTTTCTTGCTAGTATCTTCCAGCCTGCAGAGAAGCTGGGTTATTTCTTGGGCCTCTCCAGCCTGCTATGCCAGATCTGGGCCTCTGCAGTTATTACCATTAGTCTTGTTTTGTCAGATTGAAAATACCATTACAATTTAACCTTTAACCAGGTGTTAAACATACTTTTCATACATTTTACTACATGTTTGTATTAAACTACATGTTTGTATTAAACTGTCATGTTTTTTTTTATTACCTGCAAGTAGAAAATTATCGCAAAAAAATCCATCTGAGGTTAATTTTTATACATGCCTTCCTAAATACTTTTTTCTCCTTTGAAGACAGCATAGAATGACTAAGAGCTTAAATTGAGATGAAGAACTTAGAAGGTTTGGAATGCTTAACTACAGATTTGTTGGGAGTTGGGTTGTTTTTGGGTTTTGTTTTGCCTTTTCGTTCCTATGGCTTGCCATCACCACCAGAGGGCTCCGTGGAGGCTAGGTCAGGGGAACTGGAGTGCTGACGTCACCGTCACACCGGTTCCCAATCCACTCATCAGCAGGACTTCAAGAGACGGCAGCTGCCAGCACACCGACGCTTGAGTGTTAGCCAGTTATGCTGTTCCTGTGACGACAAGTCTGGCTAAATCCCCGAGTTTCACTTGTGACGCCGTGGACAAATTACACACTGGTGCCCAAGGCAACCACTCGCCTCCTCCGTTGAAAAGAAAAGAAGACTCCTCAGTGTCTGGAAGTCCAAGCTGGCAGTCCGACCGCTCTCTCGTGACGTAGTCAAGTCCTACGACCTGTCCGCCCTCCACCGCAGTCCTACCTACACCTCCTGCCCTGATTCTCAGCTCCCCACTCCTGGCGGAGTTGTTGATTTCTTCCCCCCGTGTAAGCATATTTCTTTAGAGTTAACTGTCAATTCCCACGGTCATTGAACTCACCTCCTGATCTGCTGCTGTCTCCAGACGTTCCTGGCATTCCTGATTGTTTCCGTCCTCTCCGATGTTTAAGAGAACCTACCTGGAAATCCTTTTTTTTTGTTAAATCACTTGACTGATCTCTGCATCCTGACTTGTGTTCTGTATGTGGGTTCGTAGCGTTAACACCAGTATGACAAGATTTACTCAATAAATCAGAATATTAAAAAATCAATTTATTTCAGGAATTTCACCAAGTGAAACACAAATAGATGACTTGTATTGTTCTTGCCACTAAGCTGACTTTTCAGAACTTGCCTTAATAACTGTAAGTGTCTGGCTGTTTCCGCTTTCCTTGTTTCCCTGTTATTTGCAGCTCTCCTCAACACTGATGTCCCTGCTGTGGATCCTGGTGGTGGATTTGGGGGATCAGAGAGTGGTGACTAATGGTGGCTTCATTAAAGTCAATATTCATAGTCAGCCATTTTGACTGGTTGGAAAAGGGGGTTCAAGCCTAGGCACAATTGCAGAGGGGAGACTGGGTCATCAGTATTCCACATTGATTGAGACTTGCACAATCGGCTTAAAGTATACAGCTGAAACCAGATGTTTACATACACTGAATAAAAAAAGCTCATACATTCTTTCTCACTCTCTGAAGTTAAATCAGATCAAACTTATTTTGTTTTAGGTTAGTTAGAAAGACGATGTATTTTAAGGCCACACCTTAAACACACTGCTTTCTTGTTTGACACAATGTGAAAGTCAAAAGGTCATTATCAGGATATCAGGAAGACAAATCTTGTTCATCCATGAGAACAATTTGCCGATGCTTGAAGGTTCTGTTCAAAAAATTATCTGCAAGAATAGATATGATGGGAACGTACAACCATCATAATGCTCAAAAAGGAGATGAGTTCTGTGTCCCAAAGAGGAATATGTTCTGGCCTCAAATGAGCAGACTGAACCCAGAACAAAACCCACAGACCAGGTGTAGATGCTGCTGTAGTTGGTAAAACAGTCATATCTGCAGTCAAACGGTCTTGTACCAACATGGGCTGAAAGGCCACTCAGCGAGGCAGAAGCTCTTACTTCAACAGAAAAATAAAAAGCCAAATGGCAGTTTGACCCCAGTCCTATGGAGAAGCTGTGGGAAGATGTGAAATCTGAGGTGGCCTACAAACCTGGCTAAGCTACACCAGTTATCTCAAGAGGAATGGACCAGAACTTGAGTAAACTATGACTTGGGTCAAACCTTTTAGATTTCACTTAACAAGCTTCCCACAACACAGCCTAAAAGACAGCTAACACAGATTAAATACTGACCAAATATATGTAAACTTCTGAATTTAAGGAAAGTTTTTAAACCATCTCTAAAAATGTTCTCACCAAGTTTTCTGGTATTTAGCAAACAGAAATAAGTTTGGTAAATCTAACAGACCTAAAAAGAAGTTTGGTCTGATTCAACTTCAGACCATGAGAAAAAAAAACTGCTTGCTTATCTTTTTATTGAGTGTGTGTAAATATCTGGTTTCAAATGTCATCCTGTCATCTAACCTCATTAAAGCATGCTGCCGTGCTTGCTTCGCTCCAGCTGTTCCTATGTTTCTGCTGCTATAGAGCTTTGAGATCTGCCAAGTTTCTTTTCTTTACGCTTCTTTTTACAGATGCCAAAGAATTTTTTTTTCTCATTGCTGTATTAAAGCCTTTCCAATGTTCCAGTAATTCCAGTTGACTGGCATGTCATGCTCAAGCCCCGCCTGAGTTACTGGAAGGTTCGTCATGGCCTAACAGGAAGTTCCTTGAATTGGCTTCTTATATTTGTGACATTTTATCAAATGTGGCGAGTCCTTATCTACCACAGCATCACCATCTTAACTGCAGCCGTCTTGAGCTTCATGTTTTTATCTCGTATAGGACAAGACTGTCAAATTGGAATTGTCAGAAGTATTCTCTGTCCCCAATCGCTGTCTTTCAACCTGCTCTGGGTGGTAGCACATTCATCTGACATGCTGCCTAAAAGGAAAAGACATCTGATTAACAGAAGTTTACAAAATGAAGATTTTAATTTGAAATCTTTAGTCTGAAATTGGCCTCACTTAAGAGATCTGTGTAAAAAAGAGCTCCTTTGTCTTCTCCCAGTGCCACCTAGAGACAACCAGTCAGAGCCAAGAGGAAACGCTGCTCACTTTCTGTCTCATATTATACTGTCACGATAGTTTTAACAAATATGTAAAAAATAAAACAGTATTTGCTTTTTACAAAAAGTTAGATAATGCAACTTTAAGTGTTATTCAATGTGCAAGTGAAAATAGGTGTGCTTTGGTTGAAAGGTTACATTGGTTTTTTTGTTTTTGTTTTTGACCTCCCTTTTAAAGTTGTTTGCCTTCCTAAAAGCGATCCCTTTCACTTTACCTTTGAACACGAGCATCAAACAGACATTTCAGAGGAACATCTGTTTGACCAAAACACATTGTGACTGGTTTGGGTTTACAAGCACTGACAGCTGTGATGATGATTCAGCAAATCAGACGGGCACAACAACAAGTTGAGGTCCTGATGGTGACGGCTTTGGTTGATTCTCCGCATGCCGAGGAGGACAATGCGTAACTTTGGACAGATCTGACCAAATTTATGCATAACCTCACTTGGATTTAGAAATAAAATAATTTTCATTTGACAAAGAAAAGGCTCTGAAACTATGTAGAATGAGTATTAGTTTGGAAAATATTTTTTTCATTTTAATGTACATTTTGTCTTTGTTCATTTACCCTTTGTTCACTTATTTGTATAGGTGAAATACCTATTCCTAAATAGGTGTGTTATCTGTTTAGGAAGGTGAAATACTCTTCCCAATAATAAAAAAAATGTTAACAGCATTAAAGCAATTAAACCCTTCTAACCGTTGATGTTTACTTTAGTTGCAAAAAGAAAAAATCTATCTTAAAAAGCCAGAAGGAGGAGTCTGCAGTACTGAATCAAAACACTTCATCAAACCTGACAGGGTAAGTTCTCTAGTTAAATAACACCAACCAAAAGCAGTCCATTGCATATATTGCTGGAAGACAGATTTCTGTTGATTGCTGAAAAGTTTGCAGCAGAAAATGACCTCAAAGTTAATGAACAACAAGCATTGGCCAAAGATTGAATCACTTACAGGCTTTATGTTGAAAATGAAAACAACTTTTTCCAAAACTGACAGAAACAATCACGGAAATATGTGTGAGTGGAAACAACCTGAGTATGAATGTCTGTAAAACTTGGGCACTTTTCTTCAAAAGCTTAAAATAAGTAAATAACTTTGTGTTGATGTAATGAAAGCACCAACATTCATTTGGTCATGTAAGAGTGAACTATTTACACAACAGCAAAAAAAAAAAAAAAAAAAAAACAACTGCAGCAAAACAATTGAGCAATTTTTACCAACACAGGTAATTAAATTTAGTACTTATTAAACTGATGGGCCTAATTTATAGTATGGTTTTGATTAGTTGGTTAGTTGTGCCTTGGGTTGTTAGTTCTAACAGAAATATCAGCTTTAAAGATGCCTTTCTGTGTGACATGACAGAAAACACACACTTAAAAATAAACGCTTTATATTGCCCTTTGTGTTGTTTCAAAGTGTTTAATTTATGATTCCACAAAAAATACATAATATTTTAAGCAGATGCAACTGTAACACATTTTCATTAGGACATGTTAATATATTATGGGAAAAGTTCTTCTGCAAGTTTTCTCATAAAAGTTGCATTACAGAAAAAGGCGCTATATAGTTTTCATAAAAAAAGAGGTTGAGGAAAATACTCTGATCCAACTGAAAGCAAGAAAAGTAACTTTATTTACTGCAGCCACTGAGTCAAACATTTGCTACAACTGCCCAGCAGATCATACTGTGTGCATTCAGTGTGGGATAAAAGAGAACAAGTTTTTTGTTCATTAAGCTTTCACTTCATTAACTGTTTTATTTTCAACCCTTTGGGATCTGCAGCTTTTCTGATAAAATGTTCTTAATCATCACCCATGTCAAACTCATCTAATGTCCACATCTTTGCATAGGAATCAAACCAATATCCATATTTCATGTGAACTTCTGTAGAGATTAAAATTTCACTCAGCTTTTGAATTAGCCTTCAACATTTTTAAAAAATATTATTTTTAGCTCCATGTTCTAAAGGGGCACCATTGTATCATTGCTTTAGTTTTAAGTGCAATCCCTAATGTGACTGTTTTTATGTCGTCATATTTTATATAACTTTTATTTCAATCATCCATGAAATGATCTTGTGTAACATTAATGGAAAAGTTCAGGGGGGTGGAAATTATTATTTTCCTTCTTTTCATCTCTCTGCATTGCACTGTAAAAACTCTCATACACTGACTGTGAAACTGTAGGCTTCACAATATCAAGACAGAAACAGCAGTAAAGGGACATGTAGTAAAAACAAGAGATGTGCCACTGTGTTAAAATACTATTTCAGTTTCCTTCATAAGTTTGTGGAACTGAGCATGGAGTATTTACAGCATCATATCATTTTCTATCTTTAAAAAGCAGCGTTTGCAAATAAATTAACAACAAAAAATGAGGAATTTTGTGTGTAAATCTGCAGACATGATTTGAACTGATTTAGATGTTGCTGTATGACTGTGAGGAGTCAGTGTTGCTGCTTGTGTTTGGAACTGGTGAAACACGGTACACCCCTGGAAGACAAACAACATGTCAATCATGATAGTGAACTCAATTTCAAAAAGGATCACAATGAGCATGAGAACAACTTACCCCTTCTCCGAAAAATTCGGTTTATGACGTTTTCTGCACCACTGGAGGAAGTTCCTGCACTCGTGCTCTACAGCAGGAAATAGGTGGAAATTAAAAGTTTGCTTTGTGTATATTTAATGAAATCACAGGTCTATTGTAGGCTCTTTGACATATCAGTAATCCAAAATGTAAAACTGATCAAATTATAGATTTTTTATAATTTTGGTGTTCTTTAGTTTTCAAATTAGAACTTACCCTTGTGCGATTAGAAGTAGTGCTTAATGCAGGGACTTGTCGCAAAACAAGAGAGCGGATCTGAAAATAAATACATTTGTTAAAGAAAAAACTTATAAGTTTGGGGGAAATGGTGTGTGAACTGTCCAGCATACAACATAACTAATTTTGATATTTTTGTTAAGCTAAGCTAATTTCCTTTTCTGTGGTGACTTAGATTTTGTAGAAATTTGAGCAACTTGTATTTACTAGTCACATAGTTTGGATGAGAGACAAAACCAGTTTAAAAACAGATTAAAAAACGTGGACATCTAAGTTTAATTTACGGAAGTTAAACACAAATGTTTGTGGTAGTTTGTGGAGAAGGACCATCTGGAAGGTCTACTTCATTTCACCAAAAATGGCCACTAGAAACTTCTATCGTGTACTATCGCGTACTGAGTACTGTAAGATGAGTGTCAACTTGCCTTACTAAGCTCTACAATCAAAAATTTATGAATGTTTCAGACAGGCACCTTCACATCCAAACTGCTTATCCTTACATTTAATATGAAGTTTAAATTCAAATATGACTAATTTAGATTTTTCTTTTTTTGTGTTCATGACAGCTATTAGTGTGAAAACCTGTCTGCCCCTTCATTTGGAGAAAATACTAGTACATGCATATCCATAGTTAAAAAAAAAAACGCAAAGGAAATAATTATTGTAAAACTTTTAAGAAGTCATCCTACCTTGGCATCGAATAATGTCCCAAACACTAAAATGAAGAAACCCTGAGGAAGGTCAAAAATTACTTCATTAACAGAGTACAAGAAAAATGAAAAATAAAAAAATACTGAAATGCCAGCAACAAATTCCAATCCTTTTTCTGATTAAATGCAAGTACCTGCAATGAGTTGAAGAAAGCAAAAGCAACATGGATCCCTCCATTTGTTGGGTCCACCATGGTTCCAATTCCCAAACACCAGGTCAGTCCGAATAATGGAGTCAGTATAGCCACACATCTTAAAATGACTAGCAGGGCATTTTTCTCATCTGCCTGGGCTTGGTTTCCAGTGCTTCGTCTTCTGAGCATCTTGTACAAAACCACCAGAATGACCAAAATATTGAACACAACTATGGCCAAGGCAGGGATCACTAAGGCCAGGAGGGCCTTGGTCTTTGTCCAGTTTAGCCAACAAGCTTGATCTTCCCTTACATATCCACGTCCAGGTGCAGTGGCAGCTACTGTAGTAACAGCAATGATCAGAGGGCAAACATATCCCACAGTCAAGCCAATGGCGAACATGGTCCATTTGGACATTTGGGAGAAGACCATGACTGACCGATACAAGAGCAGCAGACTTGAGTCGAGCATCCAAAAGAACATGGCGAGATAGAAAAAGTGCATGAAAAAGGTTGCTGCACTGCATGGTCCAACTGGAACTTTGTAGTCCTCGTCTGGGTTTTCTTTGGGGTTCTTTGAAATAGCGGCTCCAATGATGAAACAGATGTCAGCAATCAGCAAGGACAGGGCTGTGTTAACAATGGCAACATGGCGCATAAAGGCAGTGCTGTTTTTGGTAAGGGGTCGCCATACAATTCCTTCAATGATGAGACAAATAACTAAGCTGACCATTGATATTCCAACTCCGATATATGTCATTATATCCAGTAATGTTCTTAGTTTTTCAGGGATGCCAGTTGACATCAGAATTGAGAACGATGTGAGATGGTTGCAGGTGCAGGTCACGGTATCGTTTATATCAGAAACAAACTTACAGCCCTTGTCATCCCAGGCACCAAGATTATCTAAGAGAGTAAAATTCCAGAAGACGCACTGAGGGTTCAGTTCCAGAGTGGTATTGAGCTTGTTGTAGCTTAAGCTGACATTGTGAACTGCTTCATTTATTTTGACAAGCAGAACAGCAGCATTGATGACATTCTCGGGGTAAGTTTCATTGCTGGTTTCATTAAAAAGGCTGAAGTTAAATGCAGAGGTCCGTGGTGGCATAACATTATTCAAGGAGGAGAAAAGAATAGTGGTGATAAATGTATTGTCAAAACCTGTTTCTGGAATTTCTATGGTAACCGTGGAGTTCAGTTCATCATTGAACGAGTCTGTGAATTTGGTTCTCTTGAGCTGAATCCGTTGAGTAATTATTGTAAATGAACCATTCAGTCTTTCAGAAATTGTCTCCATTGAAAACAGCAATAGTGAGCTGGAATTTTGGTTTTCACCTGTATTCAGAAAGCTCCAAGATTCTTTTGCATTGTCACTAATGAGGACATCAACAGTTTCCAGTACATTCTGTAGATGAAGAGATATGTTATAAAAATCCACAACATTCTCAAACCTTTGCTACAAAGTTGTTATATATAAAATGTAGCATATTCACCATACCTGCATGACATCTTCTTTTACATCATTTGAAACTTGTGCAATGGTATTTAATATATTGACAATGGCAGAGATTGTTGCAGGTGACTGAGTGACTTCTTGTTCTTTCTCGTTGACAGCTTTAGTTAAATTCCCTGTAAATTCTGGAACTTCTTCATTTTTCAGATCCTGAATAAATGTGAGGAGAATATAAACAAAGACTGCAAAAATATGTAAAAATATTAAGAATCAGACAAGCTCCTTTTCAGCAGAAGCAAACCAGATTTGTAGTAACTGACCAGTCACCTAAAGTCTGATAAATTATTATTTTAAGCCTTTAAATGTTAACCAAATGGATAGTTGAGCCAGTCATGGGAGGGAAAATTAACTGTTCAGTACCTGGAAGATAGATCACTGTTAGGTCCATCTGACCAAGATGACAAGAATGAGGAAAAGAGGCTCGACCTTCTTCCACTTCAGATTTGAAAAGGCAAAGAGGTACCATGTGAATGCTGAGATATTTACAAGCTACTAGCTGAGAACATTGGTTCTACCCTAGAAAGACAAAAAGTCACATTTTTGTGGCTTTGAGTTGCAAAAAGAAAGATTTTCACTGTTGTCTGTACTCAAGTGCCACAGCCCATGTGAGCAAAGATGAAATCACCTGGAATGATCTGGTTAGGTTGGTTAGTTTGGTTGTTGGACTTTGTTGCTAAGCACAGATTACTGTTAATAAGTTTTATAGAAATGTATGTGGTAAAAGATTGAAAGATAGGGATCGATTTTGTAACCAGGTCATCGTCTGTGGTCTCACGTCTTATGTTTTTGTATGAACATAGAGGCAGATGTGTGAACTGAGAGGAGCAACCAGGAACTACAGTAAGCTGCTTTGTATTAATTACTGGTAAACCCAAATTGAGTTATAAAAAGAGAGCTGGAAATGTTTGACAGATTATAGGTGAGAAGTGAGCACAGCAGCTGGGGTCAACTCTCCACTAATGTTTGGAGTGACATTCAGCATTGAAAAACCTTGAGGTTCTGGGTCACATCACACCAAGTTGGCATTATGTAGTTCTGCTGTTTTGCACTGTTGGGACAAAACTGCAGCTCCATCATAAAGCTGACCACAGCGTTTGTCTTTTTTATTGAAGTCAGCTTTTCAAAGCGATGAACTGCTAGCAGAGCTGCTATATCACGTCATTCAGCTACAAAACTTAACACGCGTTTTTGGCTCTGCTTATGATTAAACTCATAATTGTTCCTCCAGACTGAGGAGCTCTGTGATAGCAGATGGCATGTTCACCTGCCCACAACTAAACTATATGAGTAATGTTGTTTGGGGTTTCCAGTGAGGTAATCACAAGCCAATCAACTTGTCAATCAAATGGTCAGGTGTCAATCAAATGGCTTCTGTACATTACTTGGCTGGGTGGGGCTAGTACTACCCCTGAAATAGGTATGAAAAACTGAGAACAGCCACATAGAGCAGCGCCAGATCTGCTAATGGAGATAAATGTGGCAGGGGTGGACTAACGCAGAACCAGTTAGAGGTCCTCTAGTGGAAAACCTCCTGAAACTAGGTCAAGTTCAGGTCCTCCACTGCAAATCATAGAATCAGACTAAAATACATCAAATTAAGATATCTCTGAGTTTAAGTTTATACTTGTGCTATTTTTTGTTTACATGCAAAAATACACATATGCATGCACTAAGCTTAGACACAGACAACTGTCTGGTTGTACTGGTCTTAGACTTAAAATTAAAACTTCATAAGGTCTATAAAAACATGTACATATTGCAAAAATGGCACAACCATAGACCTCAACACACAGGTATCATCATGCTTTGTATACCATGTTAGATAGATAGAGAGAGAGAGAGAGAGAGAGAGAGAGAGAGAGAGGCAAAACCAGAAGGACTTTGTTTGATGCTTCCGGTAAGTTGTCATTCCACTCAGTCTGGATCTTTCACCCTCCACTTCAACAGAGTGGTAAAACAATCTAGTAGTGAAACTCGACCGTAACTTCAAACTTGACAAAGAGGTTGATTCTGTTGGGAAAATAATCTTTTTTCAATTTTTTTTAGAAGTAAAGATTCTTTAGCTACAGTGACCTGCAGAAGGTCCTCCACGTCTTTGTTAGCTCGATGTTTGATTATTGTAATATTTTATATGACTGTATCAAGCAGTTTTCCATCTGCTTGTCCAAAACTCTGCCATTAGCTTGTTGACTAACTTGTGTAAACAAAAATATATAACTCCTATCCACCAGTTCAGCTCAGGATACAACTTAAATTGCTGGAACTTGTTTTTAAAGCACTGAATGTTCTCGCACCACTTTAGAAAACCCTTCAGCCCAGCAGCACTTTATGGTCAGCCAGTAAATATCTGCTGGAGGGGCCTCCATAGGTGGAAGCCATTAGTCCTTTTCAGTTGCTGGCCCAACAGTCTAGCATAGTCTTCCCTATGAGTTGCAAGCCATTCTCTGATCTGTTTTTTCAAGGTCAAACAAAACCCATGCCTTTAAACAGGCTTTTGAAGTTTGACCACTTTTAACATTGTTGTATTTTTTTAGTGTTTTATGAGCACTGTTCCTGTTTCATTGTGTTCTGTATTTGTTTTTACTCTGGAAAGCATCTTGGTCAATATGCTTGAATATATGAGGTCTCCACATACTGTAAATGCAAATGAAACATAGACATGATTCTAAGTCATCACTAGATTCTGGGATCCACAACATTTGTAAAATGGAATCTACCTACCACTGACTCAGTTAGCAAATCTTTGATTATGGTTATAATGCAGGTGTCTTTCACAAGTTTCCAGGTTCCTGAAGCCAAACAAACTGCAGTCTTGGTTCCTGTTTGTCCTTCTTCACAGTTTCCTTCCTTTATGTCATCTACTCTTCCTTCTCCATACTCAGCATCCTTACAGATAATAGCTAAAAATTTAAAAACATGCAAGTCAAAATGCGAATAAAACAGCATGAATTTAACAAAATTTCACACTGCTCTTACGACTGAGAAAAACAGTCAACGCTGTTTTTTCTTCATAACCCGGCGGATTGTCAACTTTGCAGGTGAATGTTGCTTTCTGTTCTTGAGTGCAGCTTTGCATCGGATATTGATAAGTGATGCAGTTCAGGGTTGAACCTGCAAATGTTTTGAATTGTGATTAACATTATTAAGACAGTCCTAAGCTTCTGAGTATTTGGAATTTGTGTATTTCATCATTTACTGCATACCTGATTGTAATGGTGTATTTCCTGCATACCACTTGAGTTTGAAAGGGGACTGGACACAGCACTTAAGTGGTACACTCTTCCCTTGGTCACATTTAGCAAGAACTGTACGACTGACACTGATAACGGGAGCAGATCTGATGTTACTAGGCAACACATCCCTTTTCTGATTGACAATAATATCATTTCGTGTTGATGTGCATTCATAAGTCCCTAAAATGAAGGAAATCATAATTAGTAATTACATGCATGAACCAAAAGTCTTATATAAACTGAAAGTTTGTTGTATGTAAAAGATGTATGTATTTATTAGAGCCATAAAAGCCATAAAAGGAAACAAATGTTGGTGTCTTATTGAACTCAGTTTTGATTATAACTGTAAATTGCATCCTAACAACAACATATAACTGACTATTCTTCCAGGATAATATCACTGATTATGAATTTTTACAAGAATGTTGTGGTATACCTGAAATTCCTTAATTTACTTGTACCAACAATTAATTCTGCTGTGTTGCTCTTCTCGTGTCTTCATGAGGTCATAAGTGAAACAAGTTAAAACACTTTAAAAGAACTAATTTAATACAGCCATGTTGCAGTGTGATAGTGTTCCTGTCTCATAGATAAATATAGCAAATATTTCTATTTTTGCACAGTTGTAGGTGATGCATCACTTTGTTTAATTTTTTTTTTCAGTTCTCAAATTCAGATGAATTTGTTCTACACACCTACAAACCTATACACGTTTGAAATTAGAAAATGTGATCAAGTATTCTTAATATTCTAATGAATGAACGAAAATGTGTGTGAAAAAAATAAAGAACCACATGTAAGGTTAAGTTATAAACTTGCCTAAATGTCATACTGCAATATTTAAAATGTACAAGAACTTTTCACTTATTGCTTTTTAAAATAAAGTTGGCTTTAACTTACCTGCATCAGAAGGAATCACTTGGGCAATAACCAGTGTGAATGGATATTTGGAAGAAATTGTATGTCTGCGTGATGGTGAAAGTACCAACCCTTTAAATTTCCATTTAACACTAAACCCGTCTTCTAAATTAAAACCAGGGGGGGCACATGTCAGTGTCATGGTTTCATCAGTATAGATGACCTCAGGGCTTAAGGTCAATGGTGTGTCACCTACAGAGAGAGTCAAATACAGCTGAAACCAGGTATTTACATAAAATAATTTCTGTTTTCTCACGCCAGAAAACTTAGTGAGAACATTTTTGTAACTTTCCTTGAATTCAAAAGTTCACATACATTTGTTCAGTATCTGGGATAAATATTTTCTAAACGGCATGACTTGGGTCAAACCTTTTGGGGTTTCCTGTTAAATACAGAATGAAGAAAGCACTGGGCACTCACTTTGGACTTCTGGAACTTTTCCATCCAGAACAGGAGCAATTTCCCTTTCAATGGCGGTAATGAGTTTATCATTTGCCTCAGCCATCTGAGTGGTATATTCAAATGTCCTGATAGTAAAGTCCACAATAACACTTCCTTGTCTGTAAAACAAATGAAACCCAAAACTATGATCAGAAGCATGTTCAGACTAACACATTTTACTTTAGACAACTGTTAAAGCTAATTACCTGATGTCAGTCACAAAAGCAGCAATGACTCCATTTTTGATGTTATACTGTTGTGAAAGCTGTGGAAATAGATGTGGGTGAAATTATAAGCATCAAAACACAAACAGCTGAAAATTTGAAATCATATTGAGCAAAGAATGTACTTACCAGTCCATTAAATTGTCCTTCAAGTTCTTTGTATTTAGAACTGCTCTTATTATTATAGTCCTGTATAAAATCCTTATTTAATCTCATTGACCTTTTAATATCAGTTGCTGTTTGTGGAAAATGGAAAGTTACTTATTTGGGCACCATAGAAACATGAGCATCCATACAAAACACACACCTGGTAAAGAGTATTTACTAGAAAGGCATCAAGCAGTCTCAGGTCTAGGAAGAAAAACTGTCAACTGTGATAGATCTCTGCATTAACAACTATTAACAAATTAACAAAAATTAGATATTTGGTTGCTCGCTGAATGCAATTTAGTAAAAACAAACAAAAAAAAAACACTTCATGGATAAAAATATAAAAACAGTAGAACAAGTCAACATCATTCTCTTTAAAGACAAATAGTTCACAGAGAATACTTTACACAGAAAGAATTAATCTTTTTGTATTTCTGGGGACAAAAATGTTTAATTATTTATTAATTTATCACAATTTATAAATATTTATAAAGAATCATTTACAATTATTATTTATTCAGTTATTTTAAAGCATTAGCAAGTCAGCTATCCATGACTATAAAAAATGCAATCGCAGGAAATTCCCCGGGTAAATAATGAAAGAACAAGCAGAATTTGTCACAGCAATGTTACCTGCTGGTGTAGGTGAAGGAGGTAGGGTGACAGTGGTGGTCGAGACAGTAGATGAAGCAACTGTGGTAACAGTAACACTGGTAGCAGGTGTGGGGGCCTTGGTAGTAATAATATTGGTCAAGTTCAGGGTAGTATTTGTATCGAATATAACAGTTGTACTGGGTTGAGCAGAAGTACTTTGTGTTTTTGTGATGGCAGTAGTCATGTTTGTTGCACTCATAGGGAGAGATGGGGTAGTTGTTGTCTGGTGTGTGGTGGGAACAGTGGTGGTATGATTTGTAATAAGGATAGTAGTAGTGGGGATGGTAGTAATTGTAGCACTGGTTGTCGGGAGAACAGTTGACGGGACTGGAGTAGGTGGAGTCATTGTTGTGTTTTGTGGCATCACACTTGTACCTGAAAAGGAGAAAATTAAGACATAAATATCTAGACTACCAACATAAAAAAGACACAATCAAAATGACTCTTACTCCATACAAATAACTCAAAAATATTCCAAATAGTTTTAATGTATTTTTCTTTCTTTCCTTCTTGAGTTAGTTCAACCATTTCTTTGCTGTGTTTTAACAAAGTCAACTAGGAAGCATTGAGAACTTTTATTCTAACATCTGCCAAGTGTCACCCGGACCCACTACGAGAAGACAGGGGGTCTGGGTCCAGAGGTGGGGTTATAACCAGGTCGTCACTTTAACAAATTAAAGAAAGCACAAAATAAACAGCCATAATTTTGGACTCTAGAAGGAAGCCAGAATACCTGGATAGCACATACACATGCAAGGGGAAAATGTGAAATCCAGCTGCACCACCATGCAGCCCTTCACAGTAGATTAGCAAATTCCTATGTGGTGTCCTAATTAAATTAAAAACTTAGAATTTTAATAATAGTTCAAACTGTAATTTATTATTCATTACAATTAATAATCCCATAAACCAAACATTGATGTAAGTTCTGAGTTGGATAGGACTCTCCGGTCCAGAACTCAAATGGTATGAATGTTACAAAAAGAACAGGGATTTCTTTGTTTCAATAGGAAACTTCTAAAAGTGGACAGAAGTCACATGTGGAGAACCCCAAGGTTCAGTCCTAGGACCCCTTCTAATTCATATCTCTATGCTCCCACTTGCTCAGGTTATAACAGGGAATAAGATTTGCTACCATAATCAAGCAGATGATACACAACTCTACATTACAATGTCACCAGGTGACTGAACCCATCCAAACACTGAACAGATGCAGATAAATGTGTTGATGTGCCAAAACTTTGTCAAGCTGAACAGAAAAAAAACCTGAAGTTATCTTTGGACCTAAAGAGGAGCAATCTAGAGTCAACACATAGCTTCAGTTATTACAGATGGAAATGAGCAATCATTAATGATGTGCTGTTGTTGCATCACCCTCACAGACCACTCAGTCTTCTGGTTCTGCTCTGCATCCCCAGAACCAGAACCAAACATGGAGAGGCAGGATTTAGCTTCTATGCCCCACAAATCTGGAACAAACTTCCAGAAAACTGAAAAACAGCTCAGGTACTGAGTGGCTTTAAAACTAGACTAAAAACCTACAGTTACTTTAAAAACATAATCAATGAAACATTAATCAACAATCTGACGTATAACGATGGAACTTGACAAATGTAATGATTCAATTGTTGACTGTGTGTTCTATCGCATTGTATTTTTGTGTTTTTATGAAAGGCATTTTGAAGTGCCTTGTTGCTGAAAGGTGATATACAAATACAATTTGATTGACTGGTTGATTCTCAACAACTTTGATGCCACCTTGTGAGGTTGGTACATCATTTTTGGTCTCCAGAATTCTGATTCCCAACAGCAAGTAGAAAATACAAATCCCACACAAAAAGTTCAGCTGAGATTTGATTGGGCCCTTCAAACTCTGAGATAAATGTGTTAACTGGTGGAGCAACAAAGCTGCACATTATTCTCTCATAAGTGTAAAAACCAAACCAATGTTGCAAATATTATTTTAAATATCATTAAACCAGTCTTTTGTGTCACTGAGCGTTAAAACAAACCACCTCTTGACACAATGTCATGTATATTGTATATAGTATATTGTTATATAAATATATAAAAAATGAATAATTATTTATTGCTGCTAATCCGTTTTAAGGAAACTTATCTATTGAGTAATAAAAGTACCTTACCTAATACAACTGTTGTAGCATTAACCATTGTTGTCCCAGGTGTTGTAGTATTCATGGTTGTTGTTCCAGGTGTTGTAGTACTCATGGCTGTTGTTCCAGGTGTTGTAGTATTCATGGTTGTTGTTCCAGGTGTTGTAGTACTCATGGCTGTTGTTCCAGGTGTTGTAGTATTCATGGCTGTTGTTCCAGGTGTTGTAGTACTCATGGCTGTTGTTCCAGGTGTTGTAGTATTCATGGCTGTTGTTCCAGGTGTTGTAGTACTC